GAACTCCTCCTTCTTCCTAGTCTGTTTCAGTTTGTAAGCTGGGATGATACCTGTGCACCATGTGCATCTCGCTGGGTTTGAAACACCAGTGGCTCAGCCTCAAAACTCACTTCAACACGTCACCACAGTAGGACAAACCCACAGACAAGTTTGTCTCTCTATTGGAAACCTCTTGTACCACCCTTACCTGGGTCCCTGCGGCTGACTCCTCCTCTGTCCAGATTCCTAGGCCTTTTAATCCCCTTTCTCCTGTTCTTCTATGTCCCCATAACTATCTGTTTATAACTCTATTATTACACTTACCATAATATATTGAGATGAACTGTATGAAACTATAAATATTTAATCTTTTATTACCTACAACAATAAAAATTTAATATGGTCCAACCTAAATATTAAACTTGATTTATGTTTCTTTCTCCAGTCTGTGAGATCATTGAGGTCAAGACTTTGTCTCATTCATATTTGTGTCTGTAATGTCTTCTAAGCACAAAGATTATGACCTACACATAACCTGTGCTTTAAAATGTTGAAGAAATGAATGAATGAATAAACTTAACTCAGTACTTATTTTGCAGCCAGTCTGTTGATGCCCATGAATAGTTTTTCATGACATGGGAAAACAATTTAATATCATTTGAAAAAAAGCCTGATGTGGAATGTACACAAAATGTATAAAACTTGTAAAACTAGTATTTTAAGATTTTCTGGAACCTGCTTTGTATTCAGGATCAGATTAAAGAAGCTAGTCAAAGCACTGTGAGAAAAGTGCCTATGAAGTTTTGATCAGTTAAATTCTTGCCCAACTCATCAAGTTATAAGAACAGGATTATCTCTAATTATTTTTAGCTGTCTGATATAACATGCAAATGTCACTTACCTTGTTTTCTTGCCCACTTTACTTTTCCTAGCTTGGAGTTGAGGAAACAGCTGCAGAATGCAAGAGACTGGGTGCTAGAGCACATGCCTTTGTAGTAGACTGCAGTAACCGAGAAGATATTTATAGTGCTGCTAAAAAGGTAAAATTTATATTTGGTTAGAATCATATCGTGCTAGCTGGGAGGGATTTTAGAGATGACCTAGTCCTTTCATGTTGCAGATGAGGTAACTGAGAAGGTTTATGATTTGCCCAAGGTCAAGGTCATTCAGCCAACTGTTGGGAAATCCAGCTAGAGCCTAGAATTATGTGTTACGGAGTCTCTTAGGGAGCTTGTTAAAAATATACATTCTTGAGCTCCACCCCCAGAAGTTTTCTTCTAGGAGGTCATGGGTGGGGCTCAGGAATCTGCATGTTTTGCATCCAAGCACTTCTAGCTTGCCTGTCTGGTTCTGATGCAAGTACTCCTTGGATGATAACTTGCAGAATCACTGACAAGTTCTTTCACATGAACAGTGAATCTATTGGGAAGGAAACTATTTATAAGAGTTGGGTTAGAAAGTTAGAATAAACTTATTCTTTATCAGGCTTTTATAGTAGCTGGGTCCATTTCCATAAAGCATTGTTTGCCTCTTCCACGTACGATTGAGAAGTGCTATATATAATAGGAAGGAGCTCTGGTGGTGTAGTACCTAAAGTATTTGACTGCTAAACAAAAGGCTGATGGTTCAAACCCACCAGCCACTCTACGGAAGGAAGACTGGACAATCTACTTCCATAAAGATTTACCACTTTGAAATCCCAAAGGGGGTCACTATGAGTCAGAATCGACTTGATGGCAGTGAGTTTGATTTTAAATATGTATATATATATATTTGTATATGTGTATATATATATATATATGTATATGTGTGTGTGTGTGTGT